AAATCATGATGCATCTAATTCCAAGTCCACTATCAGCAGCAGCAACAGGATTCTCAGCATGCTGTCAACATCGGTCACACTGGCTCCTCCAATCTCATCGTAGTATAGCTGAGCTACAATCTTGAATCTAACTAATAAGAGAAGGAGAACGACAGCTTGCAGCTGCTACTCCTTTTAATATCGGCTTACTTTGCTGAGAACGTTCAGACACCTCGATGCTCACAGCCTCCCCACATACCCACTGACTACTGAGAGATTTTCATAAGGACCTCGGCTTGTCCGCAATAGTGATCATTCACTGTTAAGTAGCGATAGATCAAGATACCCTCTCGATACCCTTAGTATGGTGGTGTCCACCACTACTATCAACGCAACTCGAAAATATGCACTCATACACTATCAAGACGTCATGCAGTGCCGCTACCTGGGCTGTATGAAAATGCGGTTCACCGAACATGTCGAAGCTTCATTTTACGTAAGGCTACGTACTCGGACTGAAAGTAGTCTCAGCGTTAATCGCTTCAATGGTAGTAGCCGGGGCCTCGGTGATGACCTCGGCCGTGGTGGCGACAGCGGTAGCCGGGGCCTCGGTGATGACCTCGGCCGTGGTGGCGACAGCGGTAGCCGGGGCCTCGGTGATGACCTCGGCCGTGGTGGCGACAGCGGTAGCCGGGGCCTCGGTGATGACCTCGGCCGTGGTGGCGACAGCGGTAGCCGGGGCCTCGGTGATGACCTCGGCCGTGGTGGCGACAGCGGTAGCCGTAACTGGAGAATCCGTGGTCGCTGAGGCATCGGTGGCCTCCTCAGCAGTAGTGGAAACAGGGATCTCATCAGTGGCGGTAGCTGCAGTAGTGGTGGCTACTTCATCGGTTACAATGGCGGTACTGGTTATTTCGGTGGTGTCAACAGCAATAGAAGCGGCCGTACTAGTTTCCTCGATGACGTCTGTAGTGCTTTCTTGAACCACAGGAGTCTCTGTGACCTCATCGGTGGTTTCACCAGAAGTAGTGGTAACTGGATCAACCTCGCATGTGCATGGCGCATTGGATGAATGACAGAGGCTGGGTTTAGCCCAGTACTTGCAATAGGAGCCGGGGGTATCCGAAAGCACACCAGCATCACAGTTACGGGGAGCTTCAGTCGT